GTCTGTATTGCTGGTCGCTATGTGTCACGTTGCGCAATGGTAACATAGTACAAGTCTGTATTGCTGGTCGCTATTCTGTACCATTGCGCAATGGTAACATAGTACAAGTCTGTATTGCACATAAGCGCATACTGGGGTGTGATGTGCACACGGCGGCGACGCTAACAATCGTATGCGACGACACTAACATTTGCGTAGATGCCGATATGGATGACGACAATGAATCAGGGAAGGCTGGTGTATTCGAGACTAACAAGGACGATTTCTTTGGGGACTTATAGCACAAATAAAATCAGTCAGTCTTTATTCAGGCAATCGACCCTTCTGATACGTGTGGCACATTTCCAATAGACATCTAGGTTTGTCTATGTATCACAGAGAAGATAACATGAGGCGAAGCAGCAATACATAGTTTTGTATGGATGTCAACCGTATGTGTCACGTAATAGTGGGTGGATTACATCGCCACCCTTGCGAGTACACCACCCTTGCGAGTAGTACATCGCGACACTCAAATGTAGAGGTACTATTCCATATGGATACCTGGCCTATACCCGTAAGTTGGTCACGATGAGATATGTTAAATACACTGCTGGTGACCGGACCGTGTCATCACTCATCTTCAGATATGTATTTACATTCAAATCACCATAACACCTATGTCATAGCCTTCTAAATTGACAATACATATGCCTACTAGAGCCTTCATGTTTTATGAGGCTATTGACGGGGTTGACTTTAGAGGCTTGTCGCGTACGTACAAGTTAATTTTTAAATTCTCTCGAAACAAATCATAGCCTCTTGTTGTCAGTTGTTGGCTTGAAGAGTTTTTTTGGCTGAAAAAATAAATAATTTAATACTCAAGTTCTGGCGGGCTTTTCAATCCTTTCTACGTCATCAATAATCGGATAAGCGTTCCAGTATTTTGTAAATTAATAAATATGTGTGAACATAGCCCTATAAATTATTCATAAATAATGATAAAACGAATCTTTTCAACAATATGCAGCTATAACACTGTTTATGGTGGTGTATATGGGATAGCTTTACAACACAACAGAGCCATCGAGTATACTCGTAACACTATATCAGGGATCGCTTGTGTATCATGGAACAGAAGAGGTGTGTGATGTGTTTACGCTGATATTTTCAGCTTGTGCGGCACGCAATAACAACTAGGCTACCTTCTAATTTTCAATAGAAAATAGGTTTGTCCCACTTTGTATCTATATATAGGTGAAAAGATCTTTTAAAATTAATATCGCTAGTTTTTCTTGTGGGATAGATGTAGAACTAGGGATATAAAACGAGTAAATCCTCGTACTAAAAGCGGTGTCTCACTCTTTGTTGGTATCCTAAACCATAGCCCTATTTTTGCACCCTCACCCAAGGATGTATTTTCTATGCAATACGACTGATCAAGCTACATACATATAGTCCGTTCATTGTGCCTAATTCTGCACCTATTCCGTAGATTAATAGCTGACTTTCCCAGCCGTATTTATCAGCCCACTGAACGACGAGTGTCGTACATCATTGGAGTGTGAAGTATTGCAATGTAATATTACATCTTGTTCAAGACCGGTGGAGAAAACCTTAATTCAAAATTACGTCACAGGACTTTAGCCCGCATTTTTGGTCTTGCCTGTATACCAACTATGCAATTCCAGTTAGTTGTCGCCAATCCGATCTGAATTATAGTCACTATATTCAGATCGATATA